TAATTGATTGCACTATTTAAAGTGTTCAATTTGGTTTATTTTTACATATGTATTTACCCTTGAAACTCTCACTATAATTATATAACATAATGAATGTATTTATCATTCCTCAACTTTTGTTTTACGCTTTAATAATCATGCCTCCTACACCTGCCTGCCCCTCCCGATCTCCTCCCAGGTTCCCAATACCTGCTGATCTAGTTTTTGTCCCTGTGCAATAGTTTGCATTTTCTATAATTTCATAGGAACAAGACCCTATACTAGACACGCATGTGCACAAACAGAGCACATTTGTCTGGCTTATCTCACTTAGCTTAATTATTTTGAAACTCATCTTTGATAGGTGTTTATCAATAGTTGTGTCTTTTTTTTTTGCAGTTTTTGGCCAGGGCTGGGTTTGAACCCACCACTTCTGGTATATGGGGCCAGCACCCTACTTGTTGAGCCACAGGTGCTGCCCAGTAGTCGTGTCTTTTTGTTGCTGAACAGTATTCCATTGTATGAATATACTGTAGTTTCTCTTCTCACCTGTCCATGGGCAGTTGGGTGCAGTTTTTGGCTACAGTAAGTGCTGTGAACAAGTCTTGGTATGGACTTAAGTTCTCATTTCTCTTAGGTAAATACCTACGATAATACGAAACATGTATATTTAATTTTTTAAGATATTGTCAAAATGTTCGTACCATTCTACATTTCCAAAAGCAGCACATGAAAGGTTAAGTTTTTCTACCTCTTCACCAACATTTGGAGTGGTTAGTCCTTTTCACTTGAGGCGTTTTGGCTACTGTGTTCTATCTCATGCAGTTTTTTCTTTTTAGTTTTTAATAAGGTGAAGTACCGATTTTTCTAATTGTGCTGCTACACTGTTAAATCTATTTTGCTAAAATTTAGTTTAGAATGTTTGCATCTCTGTTTGTGAAGAATATTGATCAGCATTTCACCCCTGTAATGTCTTCTTTTCTGCTGTTGGGATCAGGATAATGCTGTCATAGAATTAGTGTAGCAGTCTAGCTGTCTAGCTTCATAGAATTAGTTTGAAAATTCTCTGTATTACCTTCTTTTGGGTTTTCTGGAAAAGTTTGTACTATTTCTTTCTTACGTGTTTGCAAGAAGTCACTGTTGAAGGCATTTGAGCTAGGGGTTTTCTTTGTGGGAAGATTTTAAAACTAAAAACTCAATCTTTTTTATTTTTTTTTTTATTAAATCATAGCTGTGTACATTGATACAGTCTGGGGTACAGTGTGCTATTTTTATATACAATTTGAAATATTTTCATCAAACTGGTTAACATTAAAAACTCAATCTTTTTAAGGGATATAGGACCAATAATATTCACTTTTTCCTGAATTTTAGTAGTTTGTTTTTGAATGAATTTGTTTATTTTATCTAAGTTGTCAAACTTATTGGCATCAAGTTTTCATAGTATTTCTGTATTCTTTTTAATGTCTTAGGACCTGTAATGGTGTTATTTTCACTCCTAATATTGAGTTGTGTCTTCTCTCTCTCTCTCTTTTTTTGACACTGTAGCTCAAAGCTTATCAATTTTATTTATACTCCAAAATAGCCAAATTTTGGTTATGTTAATGTTTGTCATTGTTTTCTATTTTCTGTGTCATTGATTACTGCTGTCATCCTTATTATTTCTATTTACTCTGTGTTTAATTATTACTCTATTTCCAGTTTCTTAAGGTAGAAATGGAGATAATTGATTTAAGACTTTTTCTCTGTTCTAATACAGACTTTTAATTCTAATTTCTCCCCAAGTACTGCTTTAATACTTCACAAATTTTAATATGTTGTATTTTCATTTTTGTTCAATTCCAAATTCTTTGTTTTTGATCTTTATCTCTTTAACTTATGGCTTATTACAATGTTTTTTAGTTTCCAAATATTTGGAGTTTTTTTCCCCAGAGATCTTTCTTTTGTTGATTTATAACTCCAGTGTGCTCAGATAGCATACTTTGTGTGAAATAATTTTTTTTTTAATTTTGAGGCTTGGTTTATGGTCTGAACATGGTTTATTTTGGTAATTGTATTATATGCACTTGAAAAGTATATATTGTCCTATTCTTGGGTGATATCGTCTATGAATGTCAATTAAGTCAAGTGCTTGGATAGCATTGTTCAAATCTTCTAGAATCTTAAAATTCTTATTTACTTTTTCTGTCAAATGGTAAGCAAGAGATGTCACATTTTCCTATTGTACCTTATATACTTTTTCTCTCAATTCTATGGGCTTTTAAAATACATTTTGAATGTCCATCAGGAGGTACATTTAAGATTGTTATGTCCTCTTGATGAATTAAAAAAATGACCTTTTTTATTAGTAGTAATATTCTTTGCTCTGGAACTTACTTTTTTATATTTCTTTTGATTAATATCAATATGGTACTTTTTTTCTACTTTTATTTTTTTCTACCCTTTTACTTTTAGCCTATTTTACTTTATATATGAAGTGAGTTTCTTGGAAGTAGCTTTTTAAATCCAATATGCCTATCTTGCTTTTTTAATTGGGGTAATCAAACCATTTACATTTAATGTGCTTATTGGTAAGGTTAATATTAAATATATTTTCCTGTGATTGTTTTCTACTTTCCTAGTCATTCTTTGTTCCTTTTTCATCTCTTCTATGCCTTCTTTAAAATGGACTATTTTTCTAGTTCAAACTCTATTCTTATTAATTATAACTTTGTGTTATTTATTGTGCGCATCTTTATTTCATTAAGTGATATTATACCACTTGCCGTGTATAAATTTCAAAATATTACACTTTCATTTACACCTTTCTTTGCTATTATTGTTCCCTTTTATGCATGCTTAAACTTTATGGTTTATATTATTATTTTTGTTTAAACATTTATTTTTTTCCTGCTTGAAAACAATATATACTGTGGTTTTCCGTCATTCTTTTTTCAGCATATATCCAACTAAGACAATTAAATAAAAATATTTTATAAGAAATATTATTGAATTCATAATACGTATTTTGTTTCAACATAAAACATATAATTAGGTTTGGTACCTGTGGCTCAAGTGGCTAAGGCGTTGGCCACATACACCTGAGCTGTTTGGTTTGAATGCAGCCTGGCCTGCCAATCAATGATGGCTGCAACCAAAAAATAGCCGGGCATTGTGGCGGGTGCCTGTAGTCCTAGCTATGTGGGAGGCAGAGGCAGGAGAATAGCTTGAGCCCAGGAATTGGAGGTTGCTGTGAGCTGTAATGCCACAGCACTCTACCCAGGGTGACAACTTGAGGCTCTGTCTCAATCCCCCCCAAAGAAACCATATAATTAAATTTAAAATAAATTCTAAGAAAAAGTTTCTCCTGATAAATAATATGTATACATATTCACTGCTCTAAAATGTGCATAGCTGTTTCCCTTAAAATATTTCTGTATGCCTAGGACTATCCTTGTTACAACCTACTGGCTATTGTGTGCTCTGAATTCATAAATGTGCTGTTATACAGGGTGTCCATGAAGTCTGTGTGCAATTTAAAACAGTGTGAAATTTAAAATCGCACACAAACTTCATGGACACGCTGTATATGGCATACGCATACAAAAAAAAGTTGAATAAAAATATAAGAGGAAAAAGGATCCTTCTCCTAGACTTACATAACAATTTAGTGTAATTAGTGAGATCATATAAAGTCTAAAGAATTTCAATGTGGCAAATATTTCTTGGGAAACTAAGCTATGAGAATACTAAACTTCTATTGTGAGAATTTAGCAAGTATTTCCATGTTTTCATTAAATACTCACTGAAGATATTATGGTCTTTCTAATTTGTAGCAAAATGGACTTGTTGAGTCTCTTTAAAACAACAACAAAAGTCCCTCAGTTTTAGTAGATTATTTAAGGGTCCAGTGTGTGTAGCACAGAGAACCAAATCTAAGTCCATACGTACGTTTATGTTTAGAATATGTGTGATAAGACATTCCATGGGTAGAATCTGAAAATCTTATAATTTAGAAAGAAAGGAGCAGAATGTTGTGGCAACGGAAGGTGACAGCCCTCAAGACAACTGGTCTAACCTTAAATGTTGATGTTAAAAAATACACCACATGTTTCTAACAGTGCTGCTGTTTTCTTTATTTCAAACCATATGCCTACTTGTAGAATTCTCATAGGTCATGTAGCAAGTATCTTAGAAGAAAAAATCAGAGTCTATAACAGTGTCAGCACATTAAGAGACAGAAAGTCTGGATTCTTTCATTATGTGAAAAGCTCAGATCTCAGGACTCCAGGGTTGTTACTATTATGGGATACCTGAGATGTATCTTGCTCCAATTAACATCACCATGCTACTCACTATAAAAAAACCCAAAGGCAGACTAGAGAAGATAGAAAAGTCTTCTTGGGGAGACTGAGATGGAACAGAATCCATTGACTTCATCACAGCTTTCTTCCATGTAGAGTAACGAATTTCACTTTCTGTGGCTTGGATCTGTGGTTCAAATCGGACCATCCCAATGACAGACAAATCCTCGGGTTTAAGACTCCAGACACCTACTCCTTCTGCAGCTCCTGCTGCCATGGCAGCGCCCAGTGCGGTTGTTTCAGACATAGACGACTTTATCACTGGAATGTGCAGAATATCTGCTAGTAGTTGCATAAGAATTTGGTTGACCGTCATTGCTCCATCCACCTGCAAATGAGTAAGTGGAATTCCACAGTCTCGGTTCATGGCATCCAGAATTTCTCGGGTTTGAAAACAAACAGCTTCTAATGCAGCAAAACCAATATGACATTTATTGGTAAACTGAGTGAGACCACAGATTATCCCTCTTGCACTGGGCTCCCAATAAGGTGCATATAACCCTGAAAAGGCTGGGACAAAGTAGCAGCCATAAGAAGTACCTGCTTCTTTAGCAAGTGTTTCAATTTCTTCAGAGGTCTCTATGATTCCAAGATTGTCTCTTAGCCAACGAATAACAGCACCAGCTATAGCAACAGAACCTTCCAAGGCATAATGTACTGGCTTGTCTTTGCCTAGTTTGTAAGCCACAGTGGTCAGAAGTCCATGTTCAGAAAACACACACTTACGACCTGTATTACACAGTAAGAAACAGCCTGTTCCATATGTGCTTTTGGCTTGTCCTTCCTGGAAGCACATTTGTCCTACCAATGCAGCGGACTGATCCCCCAAACACCCAGATATTGGCACACCTTCCAAGGTCCCACCTTTTATTTGGCCATAGATCTGAGAAGAACTCCAGACATTTGGAAGAATGTCCATTGGAACGTCAAAAAACTTACAGAGCTCTGCATCCCATTCCAAAGAATGGATGTTGAAAAGCATTGTCCTACTTGCATTTGTTACATCTGTACAATGCACACCTCCGTTTACTCCTCCTGTCATACTCCAGATGAGCCATGAATCGAGGGTGCCGAAAAGAGCTCTTCCTTCTTCGACAGCCTTTTGAACATCTAGCACATTGTCAAGCATCCAACGAAGTTTCACTGCACTGAAGTAAGTGCTGAGTGGAAGGCCTGTCTTAGACTTGACAAAGTTATTATTGCCCGGGATTTTCTTTGAAAGGCTCTCCACAGTCGACTGGGTTCTTAGATCAAGCCACACCACGGCATTATAGAGCGGCTCCCCGCTTAGCTTGTCCCACACCACGGTGGTTTCCCTCTGATTGCTGACGCCAACAGCCTTTATGTTGGCTATGTCGATGTTCTGCTCCTTAAGTTTCTCGCACGTTCTCTCTATACACTCATAGACCGACTGCAGGATTTCCTTCGGGTCTTGTTCCACCCATCCTTCTTTGGGGTACTCCTGGGCTACTTCCACTTGATGATGAGTAAGTAGTTCCGCAGTTTTTGAGTTGAAAACCAGGAAGCGAGTGGAGTTGGTGCCCTGGACCACGGCCCCCACCAACGGCCCGGCAGCTGGTTTCTGGGGGGCTGCCATGAGCCGCCACAGTTGAGCTCCGTGTCGCAGCACTGCCGGTTTCCCGGGCGACGGCGGGGGTGCGCAGCGCGTCAGGGCTGCAAGGCGCAGGCGCAGGAAAGCCACTACTAAGGCGAGGCGGGGCTACGCGACCTTTGCCCTTTACTGGCGCTGGCGCTGCGCCTTCTCACCCCGCCCCTCCAGCCTAGGCCCCACCCACAGCGACCCAATCATATTAAGGGCATTTACGTTAAAAAAAATCATGTATTTATTAATGTAATTATTTTGTGTGGATCTATGTTTCTGGCTAATGAGGCTTTCCTGGCTGGTAGCTTTTCTTTCTGCTAGTAAGATATCCTTCAACAGTTCTTACCGTGCAAATCTGCTGGAGATCAGTTATTCCCACCCACTATGAACATCTGAAAGGCATTTCCTATTAATTTCATAGATATTTTCTCAGGCTATAGTATTCTTCTTGCTATGTACATACACGTATATATTTTTTCTTTTTAAATTTCAGGACCCTGGAAATTTAAATTTCAGGACCCCTCCACCATATTCTCTCTCTCTCTCTCTGTTTCAGGTTTTCAGGAGAGAACTTTGCTCTTTTTCTTTCTTCTTCTCCTCCCTCTTCCCCCCTTCCTCCTCCCTCCTCCCTCCTTCCTCCTCCCTTGTCCTTCTTTTCTTATTTATTTATTTATTTATTTATTTTTACAGATTCTTTCTGTGGCCCTGGGCTAGAATGCCTTGGCCTCAGCCTGCCAAGTAGCTGAGACTATGGTGCCTCCACATTCAGCTATTTTTTCTATTTTTAGTACAGATGGGCTCACAGGGGCTCAGGCTGGTAGCCAACTCCTGAGCTCAAGGAATCTTCCAGCCTCAGCCTCCAAGAGTGCTGGGATTACACGTGTGCCTCACCATGCTCTGGTCTGTTATTTTTAGGTTTAGCACCTCTGTTTTTCTTTGTCTTTAGGGGTTTTCCCTTTATCAGTGATTGTAATTAATTTTATCATGATGTGCCCTGGTGTAGTTTTCTTCTTATTTTCTGTCCTTGGGGTTCATTGAGCTAGTAAATCTGTAGGTTTATAAATTTCATCAAATTTAGAAAACTTTGGGCCAGCATTTCTTCAAATACATTTTATTCTCTCTTCTCTCCAATTGCACATATGGGAGGTATCCGATAGCTCACAGATATGCTACATACTATGATTTTTTTTTCTGTGTATGCTTGATTTCCAATTGCTTCTATTGCTGTATCTACAAGTTCATTGACCGTTTCTTCTCCAACATCTAATCTGGTAATTCATTCAGTATGTTTTTAACCTCACATATTGTAGTGTTCATCCTTAGAAGTTCAATTTGGATTTTTAAATACCTACCTAACTTTTTGAACACTTGGAATGTAGTTAGAATAACTTTCAATTTCATTTTTTGTTAATTTGAACATTTATCTCAGTTCTGATTCAGTTTTGAGTGTCTCCTCATTATGGCTGCTTTTTCTGTATTTTCTTTGCATGCTTGCTAGATGGTGAATTTTACCTGGTTGAATGCTTTATACTTTTGCATTCCTAAAAATCATCTTGATTTTTTGTCTATGCTTTGTTTTGGCATACAGATAAATTACTTGGAAACAGTTTGGTTCTTTTGGGTCATGCATTTAAAATTTGTTAGGTGGAACAAGGACAGTGCTCAGTCCAGGGCTAATGATGAGACTTTCCTGGCTGGTAGGAAGAGTCTTGCTCCCAGCTCTGGGTGAACACTGAATACTGTTATCTCTAACCTTCTCGTGTGTATCTTTCCCCATCCTTAAATAGTTTCTTCACACATGTGCACTGAATATTCAGGGGCCTCTCTGGAGACCTCTAGAGTTCTCTGTGCAACTCTCCTATCTAGTACTGTGTCCTGCACACTCTGGCTTCCTTGGTTTCTCTGGATGCTCAGCTTTATCTTCTTGCCATAGGGTTCCACTGGGCTCCACTGGTTCCCTATCTGTTTTGTTGCCTTAAGACATTCTCAGGTCAATCAGCTGAGAAAATCATAGAACTTACACCATTGGTTTCTTGCATCTTAGGAATTACTGTCCTCATTCCCTGATATACAACATTTGTAAACTGTTGTTATACTTTTTGTGAATTATGTAGGTAGGTCATTAACAAAAGTTTAAGGATATACAAAAATCAAAAAACATAAAATCCACACTGATGGAAATAAATGAACCCCTCCCAGTAATACCCAGGAGAGGAGCAAGTGGAAACTTACACCAGTGAATCTGAAAGGACATTGTGACTGCATTTCTTGGAAGTGAAATAATGGACCCTAACACTGTCTCACAAGATTCATAGTGACCCATATAAGTGATTTCACACATTTATGTCCATTTTAAAAACTGTTTCAGGTGACTTCATTCCCGTTTCCTTCTTGGCCGGAGTGGAAGTCAACTAGATGGAAACTTAACATTTTAGATTAATTGCAAAGTTGCTGAATAAATATGTATTTAATTCCTAATGAAAATTTATTGAGTATATTCAATGAATGGCAGTGTACTACATTAGGGAAAGGATTACACTTCTAAATTTGCTCAAAGATAATGTTCATTCTCCTTTGTTAAAACCAAAGGAGCAAGATAGAAAATAACATAAAAGTTAACTATAATATTATTATTTTACTATTTTGACTGGATTATGTTTTCTATTGAAATGAAGGCTCAAGGAACTATTATGACATCAGAGAAACAGAAATAATAAGCAGACTTAATTTGAGTAGTAGGGTATAGAAATTATAAAAAGAATACAGATTTTCCTGATCATATCTTTGTTTATTTTAAATTCTGTCAGCACTTTTCTAAGCAAAAACTTAGAGACAACATTTACCAATATGCCAGTTTACCCTACTATGTCTGAATTTGCATGAAACAGATTTATTTAAATTATTTAAGAAAAATTTCCCCAAGTTTTTGACAGTAGTAAACATTGTATGAACTGATTCATCTACACAATAAAAAGATTTGACCCAAAGCTGTTTTTCTACATCCTTTTCCCCTGCCACACCAATATCTACAAACAATTATTCCCAATCCCATTAGCTTTTGAGTCTTGGAATACTTTATTTAAACATTGTATCTTTAATATAAGTACCTCATTTATAAAATCATTAGTTCTTCTTACAAATAACTGGTTATATAGTAATTTTACTGATAGTAAATTGTAGCCAAAGCACGCTACCCAGAGTAACAGAGTGAGACTCTGTCTCAAAAACAAAATAAACAAACAAAACCAAAAAACCAAACAAACAAAAAAATAGATAACAAGCATCTCAATTTAGTTTAGAAAGTTGACCAAGCAGGGCACAGTGGCTCATGGCTGTAATCCCAGCACTCTGGGAGGCTAAGGCATGTGAATTGCTTGAGCTCAGGAGTTTGAGACCAGGCTGAGCAAAAGCAAGACCCTCTTTCTACTAAAAATAGGAAAAAACTACTGGAGTGGTGTGGTGGGCACCTGTAGTCACAACTACTTGGGAGGCTGAGGCAAGTGGATCATTTGAATCTGGGAGTCTAAGATTGCTGTGAGCTGTGATGATGCCATGACACTCAACCCTAGGGCAACAAACTAAGACTCTGTCTCAAAAAAAAAGAAAAATTTACCAAATATATGAAACTATAAAATTCCTGGAAGAAGGCATGGGAAACACTCTTGATGATGTTGGCCTAGAGAAAGATTTTATGAAAAAGACTTCATTGGCAATCACAACAACAACAAAAATAAACAAGTGGGACTTAATTAAGCTGAAAATCTTCTCCACAGCTAAGGATGTAGCAATTAAAGCAAATAGACAACCTTCAGAATGGGAAAATGTATTTGCATGTTATGAATGTGAGAAAGGGTTGGTAACCAGCATCTACAAAGAACTCAACTTAATCAACAACAACAAAAAGAACAAACAATCCCTGGGCAAGAGATGTGAATAGAATTTTTCTGAAGAAGACAGATGAATGGTCACCAAACAGGAAAAAATGCTCATTGTCCCTAATCATGAGAGAAGTGCAAATCAAGGTCACCCTGAGATATCACCTAACCCCAGTGAGAATAGCATACATTACAACGTTTCACAGCTACAGAGCTACAGTCTCAAAGCTGGCATGGATGTGGAGAGAAGAGAGTACTTTTACACTGTTGACAGGATTACAAACTAATAAGGGCCTCTTTGGAAAGAAGTATGGAGAATCCTCAAAGAAGTCAAAAATAGACCTTCCATTTGATCCTGCAATCCCATTACTAGGCATCTACCCAGAAGAAAAAAAAATCATTATAAGGCCATTTGCACTATATTGTTTATCGCAGCTCAATTTACAATTGCCAAGATGTGGAAACAACCCAAATGCCCATGAACCCAGGAATGGATTAATAAACTGTGGTATATGTATACCATAGAATACTATTCATCTGTAAAAAAGATAAGAGACTTTACATCTTTTATAATAATCTGGGTGGAGTTCAGGTTAACCTGAAGTACTTCTATCACAAGAATGGAAAAGCAAATATCCAATATACTCAATGCTAATATGAAGCTAGTAGATGAACTAAAACACACCTACACAAGAAATAAACTCAATTTAATTCAAATTGGGGGCAGGGGTAGGAGGGAGGGGGATTGGCGTGCTCCCACATAATGGGCCCAATGCAAGGGTATATGGCACACCTCCTGGGTGCAGGACATAGTATAACAGGGAACTTTACCTAACAAATGTAAACATTGAAACCTAATTGTTTGTACTGTCATATTAATCTGAAATACAAAAAAAAAAAAAAAAA